ATTGGGGGGGGGGGGGGAGGTTCACGTGTATTTCGATTAGATGTCAAGTCACATCTGTTTATCTATGAGAATGCTTTTGATCGAGTGACCATTTTCATGCCGTGCAATATGGTACTCTTGTTGGTCTGTTCTGCAGAGGTCTTATGTGAGTTTTGCCTCGTTATGCAGGGCTTTGTGTCCTAATTGTTTACTCCCTCATATCAATTAAGGTTCATGTCTGATCTCGACAGCCAGATTCCCACTACCTTCGGTAAGGATTGCTTGTGTTTGGACTTTGGAATTGTTTAGAGTATCTTCCATTCCATTTTTTTTATCGGTGTTAAATCGATCCATATGCTGTAGGATCCCTGTGATTTTGGGGTAGTTTCTTCCGTGGAGGATCTTCTCATCCTCTGAAATCAGATTGATTGAAGCTAATGGATCTTGTTCTGTTTATTTGTTTTTCTATAGATCCGTTTGCAGATGCAAATGCTGAGGACTCGGGTGCTGGAACTAAGGAGTACGTGCACATTCGTGTTCAGCAGCGTAATGGTAGGAAAAGCTTGACAACAGTGCAGGGACTGAAGAAAGAATACAGCTATAGCAAGATCCTAAAGGACCTCAAGAAAGAGTTCTGCTGCAATGGCACTGTGGTTCAGGACCCTGAACTAGGACAGGTGTCTGTCCTTCTCAAATCCCTCTCTCTCTCTCTCTTTTACACATAGGCAAATGGGTGAGAAGTTTATACAATAAGGGCAAGGTTCTAAAGTTTATGCCAAGAACAAAAACAGGGTATACGTTGAAAAGAAACCCATAGACGTCACTAGAAAGACGAGGGCAGAACATTGCATGTGTATCCTTTGTCAAGTTTTTCCAATTGCTTATCTAATCATCAATCATTTTGCTGCAAAGGTTATTCAGCTTCAAGGCGACCAGCGGAAAAACGTCTCCACGTTCCTTGTTCAGGTAACTGCTTATAAACCAAACAATCGTTCTTTGGAAAATGTAATTTAAGTTTAAAAAAAAACAGAGGTTTATCGGTAATATGTGGGGTGTGGAACAGGCGGGGCTTGTGAAGAAAGACAACATCAAGATCCATGGTTTCTGAGTGAAGTGCTTTTCCCTAAAACCAAGTCTTCAACTATAAACGACCGCTCTCTCCCTTTGTGTTTGTTTGTCTTCTTTTTAATGTTTTATGATGCTCGAGTATAAACCAGTTTTCTTCTTCTTATGACTATCTTATGCTATATTATAATTATTATTATATACATTTGTTTCTCTCTCTCTGTTTTTTTAATAAATTTTTATTTTAATATGATTGAATCCAAACACAAGTCATAATATGGAAATGTTGAAATCCCGAATTTCTAAAGTGGGGTTTTGGTTGATTTTTTGAGCTGAATCTTATCTAAAATTCACAAACATATATATATATATAAAAGGGTGTCAATCGGACACATCCGATTTTTTTCGGACCCATATAGTTAAGTTCGAAGTCCAACTCTATATATTCCGAATTTGGGTCGGGTTAGATCGGGTCGAGTCGAGTTGGATCGGTCTACATAATTCCCTTTGTAATTTTTTTTTATGTTTAAATATCGGACTTTCGGGTTAGCTCGACTCGAACCTAAAACCCGATTTGAGTCTGGTCTGAAAGTCCAATTTTTTTTGGGTCGAGAAAGTTAGATACGAAGTCCGCTAATTTTCGGATTGGGTCGAGCCGGACTTTGGATCTCGGGCCTAAATTGTCATTCCTATATATATATAATTAATTAAAATTGCTTACGAGTAACTGAACAACTCAAATGAAATGAAATGAAAGGAGTTATTTTAGAAATGAAAATATCCACCAAGTATTCATAAATAAAATAAAATATACACCGTCAAATTCATAAAAAAAAAATATGTGAACTAAATTTCTAATTTTGAGCAGGAGCCATTGTTAAGCAATCGTTTGATTTATGCTTTATAGTTTTAAGTTGTGAGGGAAAGGGATAAATTAAAAAGGAAAATGGTAATTTGGGAAACAGCTAAATCATTTCTTCACCAATTAAAAAAAAATAAAATAAAAAACTAATTTAAAATCACGAATACAAAAATAGGGAGGTGAATAGTTGAGAGAAACAAAGGCTAACGGAAATCGCTGCGTTGGTTTTGTTTGGAGATGCAGTCAAGAGGGAGAGAGTGAGAGAGAGAAATCGAGAGAGGGAGAGGGAGAGGTTATCTCTTCTTTGGTATTTTTTTTTCCTTTTGCAGAGAGAGAGAGAGAGATAGCGAGGAAGCGAGAGTCCCTCTCCTTTTCCCCTCCATTTCTTCCATTGGATCCCCCAAAAGGCCCAAGCTTTTTCTCTGCTTTTGTTTCTCTCCTCGTCGGAATCGGTTGCTTTTCCCAGATGGGTTTTCTCTGGATTTAGCGTTGAAACATGTTCGAGCCTACCGATTCCAGGTAAACCTTCCTCGACATTTCGTCGATTACGTGGTGTTCAAGGGATCTCCGCTGTCTTGTGCTGCAAGTTTTGCGAATTCGGATGTTTCTCTGTGTGATTCTATTGTTTTGTGATCCGTTTTCAAGGTCTTGTTGATCGGTTTTGTTATGCTTTCACAGAAATTGAAACCTAGAATCCATGGCATGTTGAGTGAATTTTGTGACGGGTGGATGGAAGTGATGCGAATGCCTGAAAGGGCTAACCTATTCTCTCTTGATTTGTTGTCTGAATTGGCAGGAGAGAGAGCCACTGAACCACCACGCTGTTAAATATCACTCCCTGATTCTTTCTTGAACTGTTAAACGTGCAATTGAGGTGAAAAATCCTTGGAGAAGATGGGTCGTAGAAGGATAAGGTCAAGGATCCAGAAAAGCCATTTCTACACATTTAGATGCCTGAGACCGACGACCCTTGAAGACCAAGGGCCGCATCCCATTCATGGACCCGGTTACTCGAGAATCGTCCATTGCAATCGACCTCATCTCCATCTGTCTAAACCCTTTAGGTACCGTTCCAACTACGTATCCACCACCAGGTACAACATGCTCACCTTCTTGCCCAAGTGCTTGTACGAGCAATTCCACCGTGTTGCCAATTTCTACTTCCTCGTTGCTGCGATTCTCTCTGTGTTCCCTCTTTCCCCGTTCAACAAATGGAGCATGATCGCTCCTTTGGTTTTCGTTGTCGGGCTTAGTATGGGTAAAGAGGCACTGGAGGATTGGCGCCGGTTTATGCAGGATGTGGAAGTAAATTCCAGGAAAGCAAATGTTCACAAAGAGGGTGGTGATTTTGGTCGTAGAAAGTGGAAGAAGATCCGTGTCGGGGACGTAGTGAGGGTAGAGAAAGATGAATTTTTCCCGGCTGATCTGCTTTTGTTGTCATCGAGTTACGAGGATGGGATCTGTTATGTGGAGACCATGAACTTAGACGGCGAAACCAATCTGAAAGTAAAGAGATGCCTGGATGCAACCTTGCCTTTGGAGCACGACGGTTCTTTTCAGACTTTCTCTGCAACGATAAAATGCGAAGATCCAAACCCTAACCTGTATACATTTGTCGGGAATCTCGAATATGAAGGCCAAGTTCATCCGCTTGATCCTAGCCAGATTCTCTTGAGAGATTCAAAGCTCCGGAACACTGCTTACATCTATGGGGTGGCGATATTCACCGGCCATGATACCAAAGTCATGCAGAATACTACTAAGTCCCCTTCAAAGAGGAGCAGAATCGAAAAGAGAATGGACTACATTATATACACCCTCTTTGTCCTCCTTATGTGTGTTTCCATCATCAGCTCTCTTGGATTTGCTTTCATGACGCAGTTTCATATGGCGAATTGGTGGTACTTACAACCCGACAAACCCGAGAGCTTGACAAATCCGAGAAACCCTATGCATGCTGGTGTTGTCCACCTGATCACTGCTCTCTTGCTCTATGGATACTTGATTCCCATCTCTCTATATGTTTCCATTGAGGTTGTAAAGGTCTTGCAAGCAACTTTCATTAACCAGGACTTGCATATGTATGACAGTGACAGCGGGACTCCGGCTCAAGCCCGTACATCAAATTTAAACGAAGAGCTGGGACAAGTTGACACGATTCTTTCTGATAAAACGGGAACTTTGACGTGTAACCAGATGGACTTTCTGAAATGCTCCATAGCAGGGATTTCTTACGGTGTTCGTGCTAGTGAAGTAGAAGTAGCTGCTGCAAAGCAGATGGCTATGGATTTCGAGGAGCAAGATGAAGACATGTCCGATATTCCAAAGACCAAGAACAAGAAGCGTGGCTACATGAAAATGGCTAGCAAGACTTCATCTGATTTTGAGTTGGAAACTGTAATTACTGCTAGCGATGACAAGGACCGAAACCAGGCTGGCATTAAGGGGTTTAGTTTCGAGGACAACCGTCTCATGGATGGAAACTGGTTACTTGAACCCACCCCAGATGATATTTTGATGTTCTTCCGTATACTGGCCGTTTGTCACACTGCTATTCCTGAGGTGGATGAAGAGACAGGGAAGTTGACTTACGAAGCAGAGTCTCCTGATGAAGTGTCTTTCCTTGTGGCTGCAAGAGAGTTTGGTTTTGAGTTCAGTAAGAGAACCCAATCAAGTGTATTCATCAGTGAACGATCTTCGTCTTCAGCCCAACCAGCTGAAAGGTGAGCCACTTATTTCCTTCCATTGACCTCTTTGGAGTTCCATAGTAGAAATCTAATTGTGTCTGATATTTTGCAGAGAATACAAAATTTTAAATCTTTTGGACTTCACTAGCAAAAGAAAAAGAATGTCTGTCATCGTTCGTGATGAAGAAGGACAGATCCTTCTCCTCTGCAAAGGCGCTGACAGGTTTAGCCACTTAACTTTGGGACTGGGTTTCATAGTGGGGTTGTTATTTCTCATGCAGACAATTCAGTTCTTATTCTTGAAATTTTTGCAGCATCATTTTTGATCGGTTAGCCAAGAAAGGGAAGACTTACCTAGGAGCTACTACAAAACATTTGAATGAATATGGTGAGGCTGGCTTGCGCACATTAGCACTTGCTTACAAAAATCTGGGTGAAGCCGAGTATTCAGCGTGGAATAGTGAGTTCCTGAAAGCTAGAACTTATGTTGGAGCTGATAGGGATGCAATGCTCGAAAAGGTATCGGATGTGATGGAGAGGGAATTGACCCTTGTTGGTGCAACTGCAGTGGAGGACAAACTGCAGAAAGGGGTATTATGCTGTATAATCTATTGTGATCATTATAAAACCTTTTTGCCTTTCAGACAGATTCCTTTCAGCTTACTGTTCTTTGTTCACTTCAGGTGCCCCAATGCATAGATAAACTTGCCCAAGCTGGTCTCAAGATATGGGTTTTGACAGGAGATAAGATGGAGACGGCAATAAATATAGGGTTTGGTCTCTGCATGTTGCTAATAACATGAATGAGCCCCAGAACTCGATTTCTTTCTGTGAGATACACCTTTAAGATTAACTAAACCAAGTTCTTTGCTTTCCCGATTGCAGATACGCCTGCAGCTTACTCCGACAAGGTATGAAGCAGATCTCCATAGCACTGACAAGTTCAGAGGAATCGTCCGAAGCCCCTGAAGTTGTATGTATATTAGGTCAATACTATAAACACTTGTATCACCGTTTCGGTGAAATTTTGCAATTGATATGAAAATGCATTTTCATTGCTATTGATGGTCAGGTTGCGAAAGAGAGCATTTTGATGCAGATCACAAATGCCGCACAGATGATCAAGCTAGAAAAGGATCCACATGCAGCATTTGCTTTGATAATTGATGGGAAGACACTTACATACGCTCTGAAGGATGATATCAAGTTTCAGTTTCTCGCCCTTGCAGTTGATTGTGCATCTGTCATTTGCTGTCGTGTCTCTCCCAAGCAGAAAGCACTTGTACGATTAGTTCCAAAAGCTTTGAATCACTAAAACGTATAACGGGTACTGAAAACATCTTATGGATGCCTAAGCTCATTTTGTTCATGTTGGCACACTAGGTAACGAGATTAGTGAAAGAAGGAACAGGAAAGGTCACCCTAGCCATTGGAGATGGTGCGAATGACGTCGGAATGATTCAAGAAGCTGATATTGGTGTAGGTATCAGCGGTGTTGAAGGCATGCAGGTGATTAAAATATTCTCAAATACAGTGAGATGCAAAATTATTACGCTGGCCGATTTTTGAGAAAACCCGTTTTGTATTTTTTGTAGGCTGTAATGGCTAGCGACTTTTCCATAGCCCAGTTTCAGTTTCTGGAGAGACTACTCGTTGTCCATGGTCACTGGTGCTACAAAAGAATAGCACAAATGGTAGTATATACGTATATATTTCTATATCAATGACCAGACATACATGTTTGCCCTTAACACCTGATCTTGATTTGTGATCTTGTTTTACAGATCTGCTATTTCTTCTACAAGAACATAACATTCGGTCTAACTCTCTTCTATTACGAGGCTTTTACTGGGTTTTCTGGTCAATCTATATACAATGACTCCTATTTGTTGCTCTTCAATGTCGTTCTCACGTCTCTCCCCGTCATCAGCCTCGGAGTTTTCGAGCAAGATGTTCCTTCTGATGTCTGTTTACAGGTCAGTGGTGCTTTGCTCAGTACCTAACATTTCTCTATCTGCCTTCACATGGAAACTGACCCCTTTCCTTATCTCTTTGTTTAGTTCCCTGCGTTGTACCAGCAAGGCCCCAAGAACCTGTTTTTTGATTGGTACAGAATCTTGGGGTGGATGGGTAATGGAGTTTACTCATCCATAATCATTTTCAGCCTCAACATTGGGATCTTCCATGTCCAATCCTTCCGTTCCACTGGCCAAACTGCCGATATGAATGCCATGGGAACCATGATGTTCACTTGCATCATCTGGGCAGTGAACGTTCAGATCGCATTAACAATGAGCCATTTCACTTGGATCCAACATCTCTTGATCTGGGGAAGTATCGGTGCCTGGTACATATTCTTAATCCTTTACGGAATGTTGCCCCCGAAGATGTCGGCCAATATCTTCCACATGCTGGCAGAGACTCTGGCCCCTGCACCGATATTCTGGCTCACGATTCTGCTAGTCATAGCTGCCACTGCTCTGCCTTATTTTTGCCACATCTCATACCAGAGATCGGTGAACCCTCTTGACCATCACATCATACAAGAGATAAAGCATTACAGGATCGATGTCGAGGATGAGAGGATGTGGACAAGGGAACGTTCCAAGGCCAGAGAGAAGACGAAGATAGGGTTCACGGCTCGTGTTGATGCAAAGATCCGACTACTGAGAGGGAAGCTTCAGAGGAAGCAATCTGTGTTGAGCACTGTGAGCGGTACTTCATCTAACGATACAGGACCTTCTTCAAACACACAGACACAGACTTGAAAGTGGGGAACTTTTACTTGATCTGGTAAGTTTCCTTTTTTTCCTGCTACTTTCTCGGTAATTCTCGAGAGAGAAAGAAAAAAAGGAAAGAACTTTCTTGGCAGAGAAAGTTGGGTTGAAGGTGTAGAAACATAAAGTCCCTGTCTTTGGATCAGATCTTCTTCTTATACCATGTGAGGTACTGCGGCCAAACAAGAAAGGAGAAGAAATGTTGTATTGTGTTGAGTGCGTGTCTATGTTTTGTGTACACTACAAAACTAAAAGAGAAAAATGTGTGATGAGAGTAAAGAGTTTTCTGAAAATATTTTTTGAAACAATATATATATATAATTCTTTTTTTCTTCCTTTATCCATGTATTTAAACGCAAACGCAGAAACTGTTTGCGATACAATCGCAAACGCAAACGTCTAGGGGTTTGACGGGTGGTAACGCAATCGCCCGCAATCGCAGCGATTGCGACTTCTGGCGATTACGGGTGATTGAAAAAGTGATTGTTGGAATCGTAATCGCCCGTAATCGCAACAAAACATCAATATTCTAATCGCAGCTAAAAGATTGCATTACGATAGCGTTTTGCAGCGTTTTGATTAAATGACCAAAATACCCCTAATATTAATTAGTATATATATATATATACATATATATCATATATTATATATATAAAGAACTTACGTATGTTTATATATACATAAAATATATAAATACATATATATATAATACATATATATACACACATATATACATACAAACATACATATATATACACAAACAATCATATATACATACATACATATATATACACGTACACATACATACATATACATATACACATACATACATATATACACACACGTACATATATACACATATACATACATACATATATACACACACATATATACATATACATATATACATACATATATACACATATATATATATATACAAACAATCATATATACATACATACATCTATATACACATAAATATACATACATATATATACACATACATACACATATACACATATACATATATAAATATATACATACGTATATATATATATACACATACATGCATATATATACACACACATACATATATATATACATACATACACATATATATATACATACATACATATATACACATATACATATATAGACATATATTTATATACTTAATACATATATACATACATAAATTAAAAATATATATTAATAATTTTTTTAGTATTGTATATAATGATGTATTTTTTGTAATTTAAATCAAATCGCAATCGCAATCGCTGCCAATCAATCGTTTTAAATCGCAATCACTCGCAATCGCTACCAACAACAGTTTTTTTACCAGTCAGTACCAATCGCCTAGAATCGCCAGCAAACGCATCGTAAACGCCCGCAATCACCGCGATTGCGATTGCGATTCCACCGGTCAACAACTAGGATTCAAATAACAATGAGTTCTTTGATCGATTTGAAGCCCTTTCTAATGAAACCTCTCATCTTACGTTCGGAGTAAAGGTTTAGCCAGCAACTCTCATCTTCCTCTGCAACTCGGGATCGCTGAAACTCTAACTTCTTGAGACCGCTCGACCCACGTTTCGAACGCTCCCGCTTTTCTTCATCTGCGTCTGGTCACGCCACGTTGCAGAAACTCGCGCTGTATTGTAAACTCTAGCGACCGACCGCTGCGTTTGCGATTGATGGTTTGGTCTCTCCGAAGTAGTGCCCCATCACGTCACGGGTTCTTGGGTTTGGTCTGAATGATGAATTTCAATAATCATATAAATATGTTATATTTTGAGTAACTAATTCTATATTCCTAAATAAATCTAAAATTCTATAGATCCAATAAATCGTTCAAATTTTCAATTTTATTCGATACGAGTATTTCTCCTCAGGTTTGTGAGGATGTTATGTTTTCCCAACTTTCAGGAGGCCACGGAATTTCCGTTCCATTTACTAAAAATAAATAAATAAAAATTATTTTGTCAATGAAATTACCATCCGTTTCGTGATTCCTTTCAGAACCAATAAATAATAATTTCGGATTATAAAACATGGAAATCAATTAAACGCGACGACATAGCAGACCTTGTCCGGTGAGGCGGTTCGAAATCACTCCAAGAAAAATCAACCAATCCATTTCACTTAACAATCGCACATACGCACACACACGTATACATATATATATATATATATATATATATTGTATAATTAGTAAAATCATAAGAAAAAATCTAAAAAAACACCAGATATGAATCATTTGACGGATGACCAAGAGTGATATGATCTTAGGGGGAAACACCAAATATTCTTTTTATAAGACCGACTTCCCGGAAAAAAACTACAAAATTTAAATAAAATTTTAACTAGATTTTATAATAAAATAAGAAAAAGAGAACCGCTTGAGAGTAGGGTCAAAATCAAACAGAACCTTGCGAAGCAAGCAACCTTCTTCTCCAGGCAACTCTCTCTCTCTCACAGAAGATCGGCAACGTTCGAGGGAAGCTCCTCCACGACAACGTTGTAGAATTTCTGGATATCATAAAGCATTCTCTCATCGTCCCGAGTCACAAAGTTTATGGCCACACCCTTTCTCCCGAACCTTCCACTTCTTCCGATACGGTGGAGGTAATTCTCCGGCTGGGTCGGGAGGTCGAAGTTTATGACCAGTGAGACTTGCTGTACATCGATACCTCGGGCCAAGAGATCGGTCGTTATCAGAACACGGGAAGATCCCGACCTGAACTCCCGCATGATGATGTCTCGGGTGTTCTGGTCCATGTCACCGTGAGTGGCCGAGACCGTGTGGTCACGGCTTCTCATCTTGTCGGTTAGCCAGTCCACTTTGCGCCGGGTATTCACAAAGATGACACTCTGGGTAATGGCGAGAGTCTCGTAAAGATCGCAGAGCGTTTCGAGCTTCCACTCTTCCTTCTCAACATTGACGTAAAACTGCTTGATACCCTCAAGGGTGAGCTCGTCACGCTTCACCAAGATCCTCACAGGTTTGTTCATGAACTTCCTTGTGATCTCGAGTGCTTCTGGTGGCATTGTGGCTGAAAACACGCCGACCTGGATCTTGGGTGGGAGAAGCTGGAAGATGTCATAGATCTGAAAAATCCAGAAACAAAAATGTTGTTAGATTATCACGGGTTATCCTAATAACGTAAAAGGATCAAACTTTGATGCGATCAAACAACAAACCTGGTCTTTGAAACCTCGGGAGAGCATCTCATCAGCCTCGTCAAGGACAAACATCTTGATGTGGTCAGGGCGGAGGGATTGCCTGCGTAACATGTCAAAGACACGACCAGGTGTTCCAACGACGACATGGACACCAGCCTGGAGAATACGTTGGTCCTCACGGACACTAGTACCACCAACACATGCATGAACCTTGACACCGAGGTAATCACCAAGGGCCCTCATGACTTTCTCAATCTGCTGGGCAAGCTCCCTGGTAGGAGCCAAAACCAGAGCCTGGCATTGGACAAGGCTGTAGTCAAGTTGCTGCAAAATTCCAGAGCAGAAAGTTGCGGTTTTCCCTGTACCCGACTGGGCCTGCTGAATCACATCAAGCCCCTTGCAGAAAGGGACGATCCCTCTTTGCTGAATCGCAGAAGGCTTCTCGAAACCTGGGAACCAATCATGGAACGAGGCATGTGAGGGAATGATCAAGGAGAGGAAGAAGCACAAAGCACATAATTTGGATCTCTCATTCACCTACCATATGCGTAGATACCCCTGAGAAGATTTTCTTGCAAACCCATGGAGTCAAAGCTTTCGTAAACTTCGTCATAAGACGTGAAGAACTCATCACCACCCTCAATCCTACATCATAATCAGTCCGCAGCACAGAACATGAGCCAAAGGAACAAACCCCCCAGAGAACAACAGAGTTGGATTTAAAGACTCACAAATCATTCAACTTCTGGTCAAATTGACGTGCATCGAACTGTGAACCCTCTGGTGCCAATCCTGCCATGATTGCCTGCCAATATAGAACAACATTAAGAACTGGCACGGAACAAAAATCAATGGTAAAATTCTAATGACTTTCCAAACGGATTTTCAAGAGGTATAGAAACATGGCGAAAACATCACGTAATCGTCTAGATTTGACAAGTTCTACTTTGCTTATTTAACCAAAGCTTAAGCTAATCCACCAGCTATAACATAAACATCGGACAGATTCATTCACTGCGAAAAAATCGCAAGAGCCGAGAGAGCTACGAGTGACTATACAAAGAATCGATGTCGGTTGATTGATCCAAACATCGGACATCCGTCATCGCCATCATCATACAAGTGAAATCCCCAAATCTAATACAATTTTATTGACGATAATGCATAACCAAGCACGATCCAAAACGCATAACCTAGTGACTCAAATTACAAAATTTCGAACCGACCCACGAGCAATCCAAGGCAAATCGAACGAAACAGACTAAATCAAACCACGAAAAGCGAAGATCCAATCACTCGTCGAGGCACACAGCAGCCAAAGCACAGGAGAAACGGATCGATTTCTAGGCAAAATAAAAAAAAAAAAGGAAAGAAAAAAATATGAACCTGGAGCTGAGCTGATGAAGACGAAAGCTAGAGAGACAAAAAAGTTCGGGTTTTTCTTGAGCGCTTGAATCTCCCAAACTCCGATCTGAGAGATTAAACAGATATAGATAGAATGACGATGATTTGGGAAAACCAAAGAGGGCGACTTTTTATATTCCCCCTCACGCGTGTAATGGTGTTAGGGTTTACTAATTTCCCAATTTACCCTTCCTTTGTTACCTTTTTGTGTTTGACAAAGTTTATTTCTTTCCTTTTTTTGTTGTTGTCGTTAGCAACTTGCCATTCTTCTTCTCCTTTTATTTTAATTAATTATTATATTTTGCAAATACCATAGATCTTGCTTTTTTCTTTTGTGATTTCATAGCCAATTACCAAATAAAATAATCATGAATATAAAAGTATTTAACAATTATTTTTAGGAATAAAAATAGAAAATATTCCAAACCTATTTGACAAGATCGAGCACTGATAATTCATCAAGCAAATAGGCAACTTCTCATTCCACTGGGATGGATAGCCAAAAAAATATTTTTTTTTATTTGACACAATCAATTTTGTTGGTTATTTTCATTTTTATCTGAATAGTTTAAATTTATAGAAATTATACTCAATCAATATCAAATTTATTTTTGTGCACCAATTATATTATTTGAATGGATTCAATTCAAAATTTTAAAATTCAAATAGAAATGACCACCCAATCACCAATCCAAAGTTCCAAACTGACTTTTCCTTGAAGCTTTTTCTGACTCTCAAGCGCCAAACCAAATCTCCAAATACAAATACATACATATATATACACACACCAAAATTACAAACATGGCGTATTTCAATATTTATCAATATGTATATATATTACACAGGTATCCAAGAATCCTTCAACTGAAAAATCTTTGAAGAGTTTAGCTTTCGTGATTACTGTTTCCGAGACCTAAAACTAGACCAAAACGATTTTGTACAGCAAAGAAACCGGTTAGTTGGTTGGTCGGAGAATCACCTGTCATGTTAGGATACAGAAAGGAGAGAAGATACAGCATGCCATTTTGTCCTGATCTCACCCCACGAAAACCTCTTCGCCCCGATCACCTGCATGAATCAAAGCAAACCATGATGATATTGATGATGGTGATGGTGATGATGATAACTGAAAAAGGGTGAGTGATAGTTTTTCATGTTACATAGTTCGTATATATCCAAGGCTATCTGGAGCATTGAGTTACTATCTTCTGCCAACTTGGCCGTCCCTTCTGCCTCCTTGACCGCCTCTGCTGCAAGGAAAGCTTTATTTTCTGCTTCTGCGACTTTATAGGCGGCTGCCGTT